CTATTTGCAACATTTACAGACAAGAGTAATGTTTAGTTTTGAAAAAATTACTTGCATTTTTTTTCAATCAACCCCACTGAGCTTTCAACCTTTGATATTTTCCCTGACCAAATAAAATGATCGGCATGGACCACGTGTGTCCAAGCATCTTTTACTGTTGAGTTAGCAATGGATTACATGACTTCTGAGATGCATTTTTCAATAAAAGTAAAATAGGATAATTCTTTCGACATGTGCACATCCCTGTAACGATAGCAGTATATTCAGGTAAATGTTTTATCACTGCGTTTGACGCGTTTTCTCGACCTTCATGGATTTTTGCTGTACATGAATGTATTCCGTGTTAGTGTATTTTCTATATTGCAGCAAATGCATTCAAAAATAATTTAATTCTCGGTATAGTTCTATTTTTATGTCGAATTCTTACTTTTCAAACATGTATTTGGTCAGTTTATTCAGTTTATGGACTTCTAAAAACTATGCTATCGGAGATGTGTACATGTCGACAGCCAGGCTAGAAAATCACTCAAGTGAAACAATTCTACAAGGCTATATATAGCAGGTACAGGTGGCCAAAAATCTTCGATTAAATATGGCGGAATCGAAGAAATATGGCGGACAAGGGCGTACAGGAATGTAGTAAGTCGTACAAAGATGAAAACTGATGCCTTTTTAAGAGTTCATGTCAGCTTTAAGTTCATAGTTTCAATATCTTACTTAGTCGAGTTCTTAACAGCAATTATGTTTTTGTGAGGAGTAGAGAAAGGGGCTTGATTGAGCATTTACTGGACTCAGTTTTGTATTTTTTGTTATTATCATATTTATCATGAATTTTAATTCAAACTATTTCAGAAAAAAAAATGATAATAAGAATTAGAAATAGAAAATAAAATAAATTATTACAAAAAATAGTTTTATTCATAATAATAAACTTAATAAACGAGGGGTTATCAAAAAGTTCGTGGACTGGCGCTATAAAATAAATACTATGCTCGCTGGATTAAAAAAAGTAATTGTCGAATTGAATTAACAAAAGTGGAATTTATTCTGAAAATTTCAACTGTGTACTCTGCAAAACCATAATTTTATCGTAAAATGAATAACACAAGGTATGGTAACCCTTGACGTCGTGTAACGTCATCGCGTCATGACTTTTCAAAGTATTCTCCACCTGCAACAATACACTTGTCATGGCGATGTACCCAGTAGTGAAATATGGAATGATACCACTCCTGTTGATAAGATGCTAGTTTCTTGTTTACTACTGACTTCAGCTCTGTAATGTCATGAAATTTTCTCCCTCGTATATCGCTTTTCAGTCTTGGGAAGAGCGCAAAGTCGGAAGGTGCGAAGTCTGTTGAGTCAATGGGGGGGGGGGGGGAGGGGCAGAATTTCGGCTCCTAGCTGTAGGTTGATTGTGAGTACAGTCTCTGCTGAAGTGTGGGATGGGGCATTGTCATGATGCAAAAGAATGTTTTCCCGATTTGAGAAAAAATCAGGCCTTTTTTTCCTTAGGGCATTAACTAAATCCTTTGATAAAACCTAGAAATATAAAATTAACAGTGCAGTTGTGCGTTAATATTTTAAAACCAAATGATTGATAATGTTCAAATATTTCAACATTCGCTTTTTTATAATTGCATATAATATATTATCAATATTATACAATTATAGCCTTTTGATGAGGTCAATCTCTCGATATATAGACCTTAGAGAAAACATATCGATCGAGCACGAAGTGCGAGGTCGATATGCTTTCTCTAAGGTCTATATATCGAGGGATTGTACCGAATCAAAAGGCTACATGCAATTGTTTTATTATTTTTCATTAGTTAATAAGAATTGTCTTAAAATTCTTCTATATACTACTCAGTACCTTCTCATACAAGGCATTGTTATGTCATTGCATTATGACGTCACAGTAATGAAAACCAGCTTCAGTATCTGTTTTTAGAAACATCCATTCTATAAAGACTATTGTGACGTCAGCGCTATTGTTGCCTCACAGAAAAACGTTTCCAATTTTAGAAACAGCAGGTTTATAAATTTTTAAAATAGAAACATCCAATCTGTAACACTTTTTATACTTGATCATGTGATCCAGTTTGAGCCAATCAGATAGTTGGAACAATAAAGAAAAATAATAATTCAATTTATTGTATTACTTACTACTTTTATTGGGTTTATATGTGTGGATTTTATAAAAGTTAGGCCTACAGTACTTAATATATTTTCTTTTTATGCAATGAAAATTATATCTAACCTTTTGAGTAATATTTTGCATTTACTGATCTTCCTTTAGGCACAACATGACTTAAAACAAAATCCACGTGATTCAAAAACTATAATTAACATGTGCTTTTCACAGGATGGACAGACTCTGGCCTTTTTGGGAGGGGGTGAATTAGACCCAATCCACTGCGTTGACATTTGGGGCGACTTCGATTCATACCCGAGTATTAACTCTTGGTTGACGTCACATGACCGGATGTTTACACAAACATGTGGTTTTCAAGCGAACTCATATGAGTTTGAAGGGTAGCGAAAATAAAATAAATTTCCTCTATGGGTTTTAAAAGGCGGTCGAATAGGTCCATTTTGGCATCATCTGTTAATTTTTTCTATAGCTTTTGCTGCAGTTGAAATGTTTTTCTTTTTCAGCTCTGAACTTTTTTGGTTTCGAATTTGAATTTATGTCTCTGCTGTTATCGGGCTGTAAGCCTGAAAAATCTAATCAAATAAACATATATTCATATAAATTATAAAGCTTTCATGTAGACAGTGCGTTTCGAAGTTTGCTTTTAAGGATATGCGATGCTAAACATAATATTTAGTAAAAAAATAATTCCTGCGTTCGGGTTTTTCTTTCGACGCCGCCATATCGAAACTCCAGTAATCCTACTGTATGGCTGGGTTAGCTTGGGTAGAGTTCATAAGGTCATATGACGTATTTTGAGTAGTAACTATGGTCGTTCGATTGAAACTCAAGTAACTCGAGTACGTACTCGGGTACGAATCGAAGTCGCCCTTGTTTACTTTTGGGGACAAAATTGGATATCCATGTTTCGTCCACCTTGATAATTCGGTCCAGGAAGATTTGTTGATCAATGCGATATCGGCGCAGAAACTTTTTTGATTCTTCAACGTAAACTCTTCTGACTATTTCAAAATCCTTTAAGAGTCTTGGCACCAATCTTGCACACACCCAGGACATTTTCAAGTCGTTGTGTACAATGCTGTGTCTGGATTCATACGAGATAGAAAGATCTTCACTCAACTGTTTAATGTAATCCGTCTATCCGCGTTTAAGACTTCCCTCACGCGATGAACGTTATTTTCACTGGTAACAAGTTTCGGGCATCCGTCTTCACATGATTCTCTACCGTCTCAAATGTTTAATGCCACTTGAAGACAAGCGATCTTGATAAATTTTTACTTTCCCCTGCCTGATAAAACATTTCAACGGTCTCTGTTGGAGTTTTACCAAGTTGAACGCAAAACTTTATACCCTTCCGGGAAAAAACGTTCCCCTCCTCGTCAATTTTTCAATCGTACAATTTTGAACAAACTTAATAAAAATGGCTATAAAATTCCACACATTGCACTAAATGAGGTAAAATTATAAAATATTACGGAACAGTTTTATGACGTCATATTGTAAAAATTACGGGAAAGTTTGATAAGAAATAGTCATTATTTTTCAATTTATATTTTACACTTGAAGATCAGAAATTGTCATATTTTGAGGTTGCGCCGCCTAGACAAACTATTGCAAAGGTTATAGCATGAATTTTTTTTTAAATAATACTTAAAATATAAAATCATCATAGTATGTAGGAAAAATGTATGTTTAGTTACTTTCCAAATTTGATTGAAGTACCTTGAACGGTATTAATTTTATAGTGCTAGTCCACGAACTTTTTGACAACCCCTCGTATAAACATATAATGATTCTACAAATAAATAAAGAATACAAGAAACTATACTGTAAGAACACTGTAATGTATTGCATGCAAGTTTTGAGGAAGAGACTATTAAACTTTGTTATAAATATTTAAAGATCTACGTTTAAATAAATTTTTGAAAAAAAATACAATTGCATGTAGACAAAATGTTATCCAAGACCTTGTAAACGGTGGTGCGGGTCTGTAGATAATTATTTGTTCGTCACTAATTTTAAACAAGGGTGAAATAATAAGAATTATAAAAGATAAGAAAAAAATCGCCAATTCAACTCATCATCGATCATTATAAGAACAACTTAACAATATACTTAATAATGCCTTGTATAAAAAAAAGTTATACACAGCAAGGTTACTATTTCCCATGTTAATTACACAAGCCTATAAAGAACTCTGGAAAACAATTGATGACATCACGTGTAAACAAAGCAAATGAATCTCTATGAATAAATAAAAATAAAACTCTAAAGATATGCGAAAATTCAAAACATATAATACATTTAAGTTCAGATTGAATATACATAATGTAGAAGTAAATGTCAGAATGCAAAATCATAAAATCAACATTGTCTTATAAATGATATAATTATGTTTATATTGAATTCTTAACATTTCTTAGTTTACGTAAATGTAATTTCATATCGACTTCTTTATCCTAGCTGCACAGGTACATTAGACAATTAGAAACTATTTCAGTTAATAATACATGGATGTAATGAACTGCCCAAGATAAATTTATCATTCATATTAAAAATATTGATGACTTTTTGGAAGAATTGTCACAAACTAATACCACATTGTTGATTCTCATCAATTAAATTCATTTACTATAAATACCCTATATTTAAAGAGAAAGACTGTTTCTTCCTAAAAATTCACAATGAATTTAAATAAGTAATATATATACATAATTGACAACGCTGACATTTATATTTTCTTCTGATTAGTGCTTTATCAGATATCGATACACTGTGTAGAAGATAAACCATTAATATGTATAATTATTTCAATCTTGATAAAATTATATGTTTACATGTATTTGATTTTCTTCACTTTACCTCCGATCCACTGAGCCACAAAGACATGGTCTCTTTTATCTGTGCATAAGCCACTTGGAAAGGATATATCACAGTTGTTAATGTAACGGAGGAACTGTCCATGTTGATCTAGGATATGGATACAGTGATTGTTCGTGTCTGCTATCAGGATCTGACTCTGGCTGTCTGTAGTAATGCCGTGTGGTTCAAATGGTTCGCTGGTAGTAGAGCGATGACCCGTGTATCTAAATCGGAGTTTTCCAGCCTGGTCAACCACCACTACAGCATTAGCTCCGAGGTCCGCCACACAAATATCCTGGTTTCGATTTTCACTAATGTATTTAACGTGATGAGATGAAAACAGAGGCTTGTCTTCATCATCAAACTGAATGGTTTGTTTCTCTGAGGAGTCAGAGTAGTGAACAACTTTTGATTCCTTTTTATCATTACTTATCATGGTTACCAGGAGGTCACCAGAGGAGGTACTGCAGACATAGTAAGGTTTCCAGCCCCGAAGTCTGAACAGTTCCTGTATCTGGTTTTTCTTCACTAGATTTACAGTTCTTGAAACATTATCAGTATAAACTAGATCTCCACTTCTCGTTACTGCTATGTCACCTGGCCAGCTCCTCGTTTTAGTTTGTACTGACTTAAGTAGTATGCCCTTGTTATTATAGAAATTTATTATATCTATATCCCCACATGTCCAGATTTCGTCATCTGTAAGGCAGGCAACACTGAATAAATTTTTATACTTAGTGTCTATGGTGGTGATTAGCTCAGGTTCATCAAGCAGTGGTTTGACTGGAGGACAAGATACAGCTTCTGATGTTTCCATTATGTATCCACGTTGTGCTGTTGTAATGGATAATGCACACAAAGAACCAAACATTTCATGGAGTTGTTCTTTGTTTATTTGAGAAGAGAAACTTGGTAATTGAACATTGACTTTAGGTGGTAAATTTCTAAATTCAGCATTCCTGGATTTGTATGCACAGGTAAGGGAAACCTCATTGGAATCTAGTATTTCATTCAAGTCAAGAATACTCTGATTCACGTCAGAAATAGCCCGCTTGATTTTTTCTTGTTGTTTATTTAGCAAAGCCAAGTATTTTGCTTTCATCTCATCGATTTCAGATTTTCGTTTGTTGACAATGATGTTAATTTCTCGGTGCCAGTCTTCCCCCTGCTTTGTGATTTCTATTGTCAGTTTTTCGAAATGTTCCTGCAAGTTTACTTTTTCAGAGTTTAAATCTGAAGCAATTTTTTCATAAACTGGATATATTTCTTTCCTTAATTCTCTCAAGTCTCTTTCTGATTCCACTGTTTTAGAGCTAAACAGTCTTTGAATATCTGATAAATCATGTCCTTTGTGTTCACTAGATATGCAGGTAATACAGACAGGAATGTCACATTTTTCACAATATAGTTCACAATGTTTCTGTGCATGTTTAGCACATTTTGGGTAGTTAGGAGTGGATTTTCTGTGTTTGTATGGTACAACATTGTGTCTTTTAGATGAATCAGAGAGATGTTCCCCTACGCAGGCCTTACACAGGTTTATCTGACAAAGTTCACAATGACTCTGTAAAGCACCTGTTTTACACAACTCACAGAGGATGAGCTCTTGGGCGCTGGTGCGGGGGTCCATTATACGAACCTCAATCGTCACATTATATAGATCATGCTGTAAAAAATTGAAAAAAGACTATAAAGTTTATAGTTTATGGCTAGTTCTAATAACCATATCATCTACCATGTGGTTGTTTTGCATCGCATAATTTATTCATATCTTAACTTTAACTGATTATCTTAGTCTAATTATCTCATATCTAAAGCAACACAGTACATCACAGGAATAATAGCATGGGAAACCTTTTAAATGCCTCCACACGTAAGGAAGTTTTGAATTGTACATGTATTGAAGTGTTATATACATGCGTATAAATGTATAATTTTTTTATGAAGACAGATTGTTAGTTTCTTAGATGTACTTATGATTTAGGCATTGTTTCAATATTTTAATTGATGTGCTTGGAAGTTATAATTGAAATTAATTGTTTAATTTAATCTATGGAAATAGCACTGCTGCACATGTTTGTAATTTCTCAAACCTGACATCTCTCTCCATCCCACGGTATCGATGCTATTAGCTCATAATTGTTATCAGATTTATGGTGAGATCGTAGACTGGTGTTATTTTGAATTTGTTATGCTTACTCAGATCGTTTCCTGTGTTATAAATAAATGTCATTGAGTTTTCCCCTAACTTGTTCATTGGTTCCTTTATGAAATGTGGGGGGAGTTGTCAAAGATGAGATGTGCGTGAGTTTGTTTGTAATTCACTCTAACGTTCGGAAATTTTGTGTTAGAATGTAATTTTGATATTGTACTTTTGGACTTGAAAACTTCTAAACTTTAACCAGGAATTGTTATTTCAACAACGTGATTATCATTTCAAAACAATATAAGTATAACAGAAGATCCAAGGGGAATCTGTACAAGAAATATTTTAGACAAGAGGAATAAAAAAAGAAAGGCTAATTTTAATCCGAAGATGAAATTCCCATGGGTAATTTGTTTTCCCTTCCTATATGCTTTGACTGCTAATTATTAACATTATATATCAAGAAATAATTCACATTCAATTATAATTTTGTCATACATGTACTGTATATTGTGCATAAATACTTGGAACTTTAAATCTAGTTATATACATATAAAGTTCTTAATACAAAACAATTAAATATCCTTTCACCACAAGAAATAATCACTAATAACATGCATAAATCTTGCTCTTTTATGAATTTTTAGCAGTTTCTTTATTGAACATTGAACAATATACATTGTCGTTAGTTAACGAGGCCGAGTCTAATTCGAGTGCGCATGACTTTTGTGCAGCCGTTTCATTTCACGAAGTCATAAGTGCACCTTCCACAATATTGTGATTTTGATTTAAAAAATTAAAATTATCTGAAACATCTACTTGTCTGAAAATGTGATTTAACGACAATAATTGGGAAAAACACTGAAATGGCTCTAACGACATCACTGTTTTCAAATTTTGTACGCTGAAGAATGGCATATGATCCGCTTATATATGTTCGTAAATGCCCATGGATATTTTACTAAAAACTGACGACAGAACACCAGAAGAAACATAGCAGCAATCTAAATATTGATATTTTTTTTACCAAAAAGGATTATCTGCGCCGATAATGCATTTGCACCAATATGTAATTATGCCACAATATGGCAATTTTAGAGGTATTGGGCATCGAAAAAATAAACTTTGTAATTAAGACCCAGACCAATCTAGATGGTCAATTTTATTTTTGAAATTTCACAATTGGGTGACTTTTTACAATAAATTTCATCTACATGGCTGAAGAATAAATCATCTCTAGGACAGAAATACAAAAAATATATATGAAAAAAAATGTGATAATTTGGCGCTTTTTCAAAAAATTCACATAGGGTCAAATAGTAAAATTTGACAACTTTTGAGATGATCCCTTTTTTAATTTTAAAACAATAAATATAACAGTAAAATTTAATGTACGAAAAATTATCGAAATCCCTAGGGTAGCAATAATTAGACTCGGCCTCGTTAATTTTGATATGCTGTAAAAATTCAATTAAGATAAAGTTTTAAAGTAAGAGGTTCTGTCTGAAATTCATAAAAAAAACTGACGAGTGGCATAGCTTAAGTTTTGAACTTTTAAATGAATCAGAAATAGAATTTTACAATATAAATATATGGGTCACAAGCTAATTGTAAAGCGTCTTACAATAAAACCTAGATGGACTACCTGAGTGTATCCATTGAAATTTTTAATGATATTCCAAGTTTCAAAAACGAACAACTGTCAGGTCATGTGATTTGTATATCTAAAGAAATGATAAACCCCCCTGCCAAGTAACTAGGGCAAGAAAGCAAATTATTGATTTCGGTGTTTTTTCACCTGTAACAAATTTCAAGGTGCAAGAATTTTGAAACTTTTTATTTGGACATAACATTTTTTCTTTGCCAGAGATTGACAAAACTATTTTTAAAACTAATTAGTTGACTGTCTCATATCATATGAATAATAAGGTGGAGAATAATAAACATGGATCTAAAACACGTTTTCAGGGACTTATCTGTGCATATATAGTTAGGCCTATTGTTTTGGTAATTTTGAATATATATTACCTTCAATTAACTTAACAACGAGTTTTGCTATTGTGTACAAAAGTAACAGCTAAATAGATCATTACGTAAATAATAACACAATAAACTTGAACAATAAAATTTGAAAAAAAGATTTTTTATTGAATTAATACCTTGAGAATTTCAATTGTAACATTGTGAAGGCAAATCACATCCATAATTACCTTAATATCTAGCCTTTTGATATCCTAAGTAATAAGAATAAAAGTAGAATTTGTGAGATTGCAAAGATGTGTGGATCAAACTCATCCAAAAATTTGAAGGTTCAATAAGTTTAAGATGAAATAAGAAAATTTTTCTGTGAACTGCAATTAAAATACATAAGTCGTGTTGTAATACAGAAAATATTAACCTCAAGTCTGTGTCCAGGCAACTTTAATAGGTTAATTATGATGATATAATATGATTAAAACTGTAATCACGATGTATTGTAGATCTGACGATTCTTAGACTGATATCATTTAACTTACATTTGAATTATGACATACATGTCCCATTTGTTGAAGAGTCGGGAAAAACAATGGGTCTGACAAGATGCTAGTACTAAATGATAACCAAGGTAGGTCTGAGGAAGAACTTTCAAACACACGACTATTTAAGAAATCACGGTTTGACTTGCAAAACAATTTCTTTTTAAAAACAAGATGTGTTTGTGAAACACTATGCGCCCGGCGTCAACAAAGTTCGAAAAAGCTATTTTTAGTATATACATGTATCTCACTGTCAAGGTCACAAGGTCATTGACCTTAGTGTTGTTTGAAAGAACTTAATTAGTGGAGTATGCATACTAAATATGAAGTCCTATCTCCTATGGTTCAAAAGTTATGATAAAAAGTGGAAAAAGCTATTTTTAGCATATAGGTCACAGTCATGGTCACAAGGTCATTGACCTTGATGTCATTTGAAAGAACTTTATTAGTGGAGTATGCATACTAAATATGAAGTCCCGTTCTCCTATGGTTCAAAAGCTATGGCAAAAAGTGGAAAAAGCTATTTTAGCAGAGAGGTCACAGTCAAGGTCACAAGGTCAATGACCTTGATGTCATTTGAAAGAACTTTTTTAGTGGAGTATGCACACCAAATATGAAGTCTCTATCTCTTATGGTTCAAAAGTTTTGGCGAAGGTTAAAGTTGACAACAGACAAACAGACAAACAGATAAACAGACAAACAGACAGGACAAAAACAATATACGCCCCCGGATCTATCGATCCGGGCGCATAAAAATGGAAAATACCCGTACATATACGATGGAGTATGCAAAGTATCAAAAGTGTTTGATAAATACTAGTTAATAAATTCTTATTAATATTGCAAAATAACTAAGAGATACTAGTACTTATTGTTGATGAAGAACTTCGCCGATATATGGTATACCAGACTTGTAGAGTAGGCTTTCCACCCTAAAATCCCCTCCCCAGAAAACTGGCTTTAGAGTAGAATTTTCCCCCGGAAAAGTGGCACTAGAGTAGGATTTCTCCGAAGGAAAACTGGCTCTAGAGTAGGTTTTCCCCTACGGAAATCCTACACCACAGTCAATTTTCTTGGGGGAAATCTTACTCTGTGTATTAGTTATAGAGTGCGATTTCCCCCAGAACCAATCCCCCTACGATGTAATATAATTGTTCTGTTTATGTTTTGAGGGGGAATCGGTGGCACATTGCTACAAGTGTCCATTTTTAAAAATGATGACCAGATGTATTGAACATACGTTTACGAAAAATGACATGAAATTTAAATTATTTTTTTTTAAATGAAATAAATTATTTTCATAGCTTTACCCAAGTACTAAATAAAATTTTACCCATTTTTCAAATGTAAGAACAATAATTATTTTTAAATATTGATTGAAAACTTTTGTAATTTTCATTCCATACTTATATTTTTTCGTTTAAACTCTGCTGAAAAAAGAATATTGTTTAATTATTTTCAGGACAGTTGTTACAAATTTTTGTCAAATGTTTTGAATAGTACTACTGACTTTTAATTTTTTATTAAAAGTATCAAAATAATGGGATCTAGGGGTGAGGATGGTGGAATGGTTGAAATTTGAACTCCATAGTAAGTTTGCAATTTCTTAATGTTTCAGAAAGTTTATCATTTACAACCAAAGTTAAGTGTGAATTATTGGTGTGTGAATCACACAGACTTGCACGTAGGCATATGTTTCATGAAGTGCTGCGCGCTTCGTGAAATATGCCTACGTGACAAGTCTGTGTGATTTACACACCAATAACTCACACAAAACTTGAAAACATTCCTTAATTAATTGGTACCAAAAGTAGGGTATTCTCACTGGAAAACAATTGTGAAATTTGAAAGTAAGCTAATGTTAAAGTTTTTAATAAGTACAATAATCTCCAAGGTCAAGGTCAAAAGGTCAATGTAACAAGAATCAAATGAAAGGTCTTGCCACATAAAATAATTATGTAGAGCATC